AAAGAGTGTGAAATTTCCTATTTTAGAGACGGTAGTTATGTGCTTAGCTTCCCGCCACCCTTAATTAACATCCACACTCCTGTCTTTTCACTTTCTTTTCTTACGCTCTCTATTCTAAGATTTCTTTTTTTCTTTTTTTCTTTTTTTAATTTAACAAATGCAAATAAATAAATAAATAAATAAATAAAATTAAAATATTATTATTGCTTTATTATGGATCATTGCCTTCTAGATAGATTGACAATAATATAAAAATTATTTCTCAATTCCTGTGTTTGCTTTGACTCCAGGCGACAATGTTTAATAAATCAAATTCTGTTAGATGCGTCCTGTCACAACATGTGCTTTACTAATACTATATTTATTTCATCTGTTCTTTCTTGTACGTTGTCTCTTCTCAGCCTCAGATCGATTTAATTTGAATGAATATAATTATTTCATTAATCCTTTCGAATTATACTATGATTTAGTTTTGATATATTGTGGGGTAAATTTTACATCATTAACTAATTAAAATAATAAATAAATTATATTTTAGAGTTATAATGAATAATTTATGTTATAATTTAATGGTATTTTTTATTTTTGATTTTTTTAAAAAAATATTGAAATTCAATATAAAATTAAAAGTGATAAAAAAAGGTTGAAAAAATATATTTAAAATTTTATTGTTAAAAAAATTTAACTAAAATGTACAAAAATAACTATTTTAATTTATATGGAAAGAAATAATTCTGAATGTAATTTTTGAAGCAATTATAACAAAATTAAATTATTTCCAATTATATTAAAACTCGTGATGGAATGAAAATGTAAAAAAAAAATTCAATGTATTTCAATTAAATACTTAATTTTAATTTTAAATATGATTCAATCCAGTTTAAATGATATTGGTTTGAATAAGTTATTATTATTTTTAGGGTCTCTTCAAGACAGTTGCAAGTTTTCAATTTTAAATAAATAATTAAAAAAAAAACTTATTTAACTAAAATGGTATTGAAAATTCTTTTTAACTCAATTTTAAAATATTTTTAGCTTGATTTTTTAATAGTAGTTTTAGTTTATTTTTTTTCTTTTACAATAAATACAAATTATTTAATTATTTCACATCTATAAAAAAAAATAACAACCATTATTATCATAATCATTACTATTGTTACTATTAATATTTTCTTAATTAATAATTAAGCTTAAATATATTTTTAGTTCCTCAAATTTAAGATAAATTTATTTTTGGTCCTTCAAATTTAAAATAGTTATTTTTAGTCTTTGTAATTTTAAAAAATCTTATTTTAGTCCTTATATTCAAATTTTGTTAATAAATTTATCAAATATTATTGCATAAACTTTACTTATTAGTGTCTCTATTAGTGCAAATATCACACTAAATCCAATTGATATTGTTTAACCGTCTTAATTTGTCACTTTTAGATATGTTATTGGCAATCTAAGGAACTAAAACAAAACTTTTAAAAATTTCAAAGACTAAAAACAACAGTTTCAAATTTGAGGGATCAAAATTAAATTTATCTTAAATTTGATGGACTAAAAATATATTTAATTTTTTTTATATTACTATAATGCACTAAACAACATTTTATAATAGTTTTATTTTTTAAAATTGAACTTAAAATATAGTTTGGTTTGGTTTTTATAAATAATAGTTAAATTTTTTATAATTAAGTTTAGTTTAATTTTCAAAATAGTTTAATTCAACAGTTATATGAAAACCTCTATTATATAAACACTTCTGATCTCAAATATATTTATAACTAAAAAAAAAATCTTGTTTTGTAATGGTTATTCAAATAGGAAATATTAGAATAAGATTGACCACCCTATTCACAAAAGGTTAAGTTCCATTTTTTTCTAGGTTTTAACCACAATGGCATAGATCATGAATAGTTTTTATATTCCAAATTTGAGAAGTTGCCTCTCATGATTAAAGTGATTAAATTGCACTCATAATTGTATCATTTTAATTATTTGGTAAAATTTATCGATTATTGATAAATTTTATCAATTTTGAATGATATGTGCATCTCTCCTTAATTTAAAATCGTACCGAAAATGAATTAGTTATTATATTGTTGTAATTGAATTTGCCATTCAACTCCAACAATGTCCATTACAAAATTAAAAACATTGTCCTTTTGTTGATGACAAACCTCCTCATCTTGTGACATGAGGAACACTAAAATCTTATGAGAGTGTATTTACTAATTTGCAAAGAAATTTTACATTTATAACCCGTTTATCTCATCCATCATTACTCAATTTTTAAATAAATGACTTAGTAGATAAAAATAATATATTGCATTTAAAATATATTGACATTGGAGCTGTAAAGTTCGATAAAACTCATTAGAAATCTACAAAATATTTCTCATGAGATGTAGAATAAATATAAATCTAGAACAAGCTAACATCTCTTGCATCATATCACCTAATTGCTGATCCATCATAAATAATATTTAACAAAATCTCACATGTTGTACTAAATATATTCATCAAGCTAAAAATAAATTCAAGTGAAAACACCGATCAATATCACTTGGCTATTTTGATTATGCCATTTCAACTTTTAAATTCATCATTAAAAATACTGATAATGAAGTTCAACTTGATAAAAAAAAAAATTAATAGATAGGAATATAACTTCATGTAACAACTAATGTCAATTGTAAATTATGTGTAGAACAATGAACAAAATAACCACGGGTATGGATCCTCTCCTGTTTTGGTGGCAACTCCATGTGTTAAAAAAAAATTCAACCGTTAGATCATAAAAAAACTTGGATCTTGCCATGGTCGTGCATTAAATATTTATTCTCTCCATAGTTGGCACTTATCAAACAAATAATTAAACAATTTTTTCTCTCCCTCTGTAATGCAGTCATCAAAAATTTTAGAACGATTGCTCATGAATAGGAATGACGCATTAATATTGAAGACACAAGAATCTTAAACGTTTCGCAACCAAAATAAAAAATGGGTTAAAGGATTATGTAAAAACTAATAAAAAATAAGTTATTAAAAGTTTAATACCAAGAATGAGTAATGGGGGTTGTCAGTGGTAGTTGTTAGCTGAGGACAAGTTTGACAACCTATATTATAGTTGTAACGACCCGACTGGTCACTACACTCAGCACTGCACACTAGAAACACCAAACAGATAGAACAAGTATATAAATATAGTATCTAGAATATATAAATATACAAAGTTCCGGTCTGACTAGAGTTAAAGTGTATCAAGGGAATTACAACCAAATGCTACTATTCCAAGTAGCAACAAGCAAAAACCACACAACAAAACAGCTCCACGGGTCTGCCGGAGACTCACTACTAGACGCCCACCTATTCCTGTTCTGCTCCCATACATAGTATGATCATCGCAGTCCAACCGCATGGAAAACAGCAAAAGGGTAAGCTAGTGCAATTAAAAATCAACATACAAACAGATACACAGTAACATAATAAAATTTCATCATTTTAAGTATCAACTCATCCGCACAGTCTATGCCACTCATCAATACCAACACCACGATGCGGCTACATCAACACTGCATAATAGAAACAACAACACCACCTCAAGTGGCTATAACAGCACTGCTTAGCAGCAATAACGGCACCACCTCAAGTGGCTATAACAGCACCGCATAGTGGCCACCTCAATACCGTCTTAGCGGCAATTTCAGCACCATGTGTGTGGCTGACAACAGCACCGTCTCACGGCTACAGCATCACACTATTTAGTATAGTACGACATATCACAACTCATTACAGCACAGCACAACACAACACAGTGATTTAACAAGTTTACGAATTGCATTCATTTCAGCCAATAGTATACATCTAGTACAGCTAAACACTATTTTCTCAGCTTTATCCCCTAGTCATCACAACATATCTTATCTACACAATTTAATTCAGCATAGGACAACATTGATTTGCAACCTCAGCACGATTCAACAGCCATCATCATATGTAACATCACCTCCTTTCGCGCCCAGCGCGCTCAAGGGCGCGCCCAGCGTGGCCTATCCTGAGAGCACCAGGGGCTAGCGCGCCCAGCGCACCTAACTCCGCACTCAGCGCGGGTAAGGCAGAGACCACCCCTTAGTCTCGCGCTCAGCACAATTCGAAATTGCGCTTAGCGCCCACGAGGCAGAGACTCCCCAGGAGTCTCGCGCCCAGCGCGATAAGGGCCGCGCTCAGCTAGCCTCAAAAGTCCACAAATCATATTACAGAGGGTATCGCGCTTAGCGCCGTTCCAGCCGCGCTCAGCGAGGGCCAACCAGAGACCCACATTCCCAAGAGCGCCCAGCGCACTCATCAAGGCACTAAGCGAGCTTGGCTAATGAAGTCCCCTGGCGGCCATGCGCTTAGCGCGATGAACCGCGCTCAGCACGAAGCTCATCTACAACCATTCCCAGTTCGAAAAATTATTCAAAACCTGCAGATCTTAACAGAAAACCAACATGCAAACGGATCAAAGCGTTACATTTCCATCAGGGAGTTCAAAGATACCAACTTTATCCGCATGCAACGACAAATCAAAGAAAATCCAAGCTTTGGACCCAAGACCACAACACTCTCACAACCCCCAAATTTTTAGCAACTCAGCCAAACGAAAACGTTCATCATCAGCCATAAGAGAATTCATAGAACTCGTTTTCA